ATAAGAATAATAGAACGATTGATCTTCCTAAATCAAAAACTAACATCTTAAAATCGCCGTGACTTTATTTATCAAACAATCCATAATTATTCAGAAAAAACATAAATTATACTCCTATATTTTACTGCAAACATTTTGAGATCAAATTTCTTGGTGTTACTATTCATTTATTGTCTTTATTAAGTATGCTTTTCGTTTTTTTTTTTTTTTTTTTTCTTTATTTGCTTTTCTTACTTCAATTTTCTATGCTTGTTTTGGTAACTCAATCAGCCGCGTGGCTACTTTCGTATTTTCTATATGACTAGAATATAAAAAAATAGGTTTCTCGTTTCCACCTGTCTGTCATCTACATGTGTCAATTTTTATTATATATCCGAAACTAGTGGATCGATTCTTGTCAAATTTTATATGTATGTGAGGATTATCGTATATACAGCGTGTTATTGAAAGGTACGTACAAAATAAAATAGGCAATTGGTCTCGAAGTATGGGTGCTAAAAGTAAAAAAAGTTCAGGTAAAAGTGTTCTCTTTTTAGAGATCAAAATTATTAAAATTTATGTCCAAATTCGTTGTATGCCTCTGATAAAAAGATCATTTTTCGTTTCTATGGCAACATTTAGTCGTGGCAAAAGTTTTATTGTTGCAGTTGCTAGGATTTACTAAAATAAATAAATTTTACCTATTTATCCTTCAGTAGAGCCTGAAAAGGTTAGATACGGGTTAATTACCTCTTTATAATTTTGCTAACACAAAATAAGTTTTTCAGACTTCTTAGACTTCGCGAATAACTGTCAATTTTCTTGTACGTACCTTTCAACAACACCCTGTATCTGGTAAAACGCTCACCTAAATTCGTGTAATCATCCCCATCAACAATTTGTACCTTCATCATTTTGAATAGCTAAGATCATCTAAATATAATGAAATAATATATTCCTGTACTTGTGGTTTCCGAATCCGCCTCGAGTTTTATCAAACTTATTTTACAACAATTTTTCGTGTAAGATTTTTTACGTGGTTTATATAGCCGATATTAAACGCTTAATGGTCTAGATGATTAATGGCTGATTTCGGACTTGTACGCTGCGCTCTGTAGATTCGCATTTAAAAAAATGCAAAATAAAGTTTTATATGTTTTCGAAAAGACTGGATTTATTCAACTATATTTAAGCGGCGACGAAAGTTCTGTCTAAATAACATTAGATTTTTTTAACCTAATAAGTTCTGCATTTGAAAATTACGAAAACATAAAACGATAGAGTTTAAAAATAAAATTCCGAAACACTTAACATGTTGTGATAACCCAAACATCCTGCCTTAGATTGACATGTGAAAAAAAATTGAAAGCCCGCGAAAATTCTGCGTTGTGTTTTTGAAAAATGGCGGGATGCGTTCAAATGCAAATAGCTGACCCCAAGGTTGGAAAAGTACCGCTAAATAAAACACCAAATATATGGAGGACAAAAAATTATTGATTCCTCCACTGACAAAAAAAAAAGACAAAAAAATCTGCGACTAGTTGTGTCGGGTGAGGACACCCCTTAATGCTCAGTTCCAAAAAAAAACTTTGAATGAATTTTGAATGAAAGCAAATTAAACGTGCTGTTCTGAATCAATGCAAATATTTGAATATCACAAATTTAATAAAGCAAAGCAAAATCTGAATTAAAGTAACTAGATGCAAATACACAAGTTATTACAGACGTGTGGCGGCAAATTTAAAATTATAGCAGTCAACAAGAGAACAAAATTTTAGTAAAAAACTACGCAGCGACAGCGGCACCAAAGCGGTATAAGAGTGTGGCGATCGAACTATCTCAATTTCATTCTAGAGCACAACAAAAATACCCATAGGGAGTGGTGTAGCACGGAGTTTGGGGCTCCTGATCGTGGCTGTTTTCCTACCCACGACGGTGATTCTATCTATCGCAAGCACTGTACCCCAGCACGCTAAGAATCCCTGGACGAACAGGCCGTTACGGTCTCAAACTCGCAGTTGGGTCTCTACTATTGGGCCAAGTCGACAGCGTTACGTCAACTCGATCGCCCCTGACTTCTATACAAAACCTGCATCCATTGTGATAAATCCCGCCAGCTCGACTAGGAACCGCGCCCTCCCCTTCTGCCACGTATTTCCTTGTTATTTAGCTCGATTCCATTTTAAATGTTCAATTCCTATGACCCTGATTTTAACAACAACCGAACAAGTGTTAAAGTTTCAAAATAGATTAGATTAAAATTGGACATCAGATAATTTATATGATGAAAGCATCAATCAACAAAATATTCACATGATAGAAAAACTAGCAAAGATTTATCAACAAAAAATCTGGTGTAAAGTAAAACTTGTGTAGACAAAAGTTACGTGAGGTTAAAAACTGCAGCGCATGAAAATTTAAGAAATTTAAGACAAAGAAAAATTGTGTAAGGTGAAAAATTGCAAAGCTAACAATATTACATGAGGTTAATATTTGCCACACGTTATCAACGATTCAAACAAAGAGTTTACATTATGTTCAATTATGCCACACTTTATCAACGATTCAAACAAAGAATTTATATGATGTTACATTATGGCATGATCCAAGTGATTGGTTACTTAAAACAATTTGTTTTGAGGGTTTATATCGTCCAATCCCAAACAAAACACGATAAATAAACACAAAATGCGTCCTGCGTTGCGAGGAAAAATGCGTCTCGGTGATGTAATTATCCAACCTTGCGAGAAATAAAAGGTCTCGGTGATGTGATGATGATGACGATGATAATGATACGATGATAACTATCTAAGGAAAGAAATCTTTAGTCCCCCTTCGTCAGTCCACGATATTATATTATGAATTTTATTGCACTTTTCTACGGTCTTTTTCCACAGTGGGGCAACATTAGATTGATTTAACTGCCGTAGATGATCTATTAGCAATCTTGTGTGAAGAACTGAGAAGTGTTATAATATAACACTTAAGTATTAGCATCCAGAAACGTTATTCGTAATTAGACAAACAAAATCAATCGAGTCCTGACTCAGTGAGTTTCATGAAATCTCCTAGCAAGTGTTTATCTAAACAAATCTAATGTCTGTTAAATTGTGTTAGAACCAGTTAACGATTAAAATCCTAACATGAACTGTGAATTCACAAACACTAAAACAAATTTACACAACATGTGAGCATCGGTCGAAAATTCCCAATTTTCCGATTAGCAAGCCGCAAGAATTAGCTCCGCGCGTTGGGGAAACTGTGGCATCGTCATCGTTAAGATTTAATTGTCGTTAAACAAAGGCTTCATGCCTTGTTATTAACTACCAAACCAACTAAATTTAACCTAGCTAACTCTTACTCACCACGTGGTTTTCACACACACCACACAACACACAGTGACACTTTCACCTCCCTCCACCAAACCACCATCTTCTACCAAGCCGCCCTCTTCGACCAACCCTCTAACTAGCCACTACCAAGCAGAACTATCAACTATCAACTCCCTAATTGCAGCTCTTCGCTAGACGGGGCTTCTTCGAATCCTGAGGAGGACAGTATTACTGGTATAACAGCGAAGTATGACAAGATCTATATTTCGGCGATTGTAATTAACCATATGTGAACTGGCCTGTCAATATCAATCGTACATACACGGCATCTTCCCAGCTTTTTGTGGATCTAATAGTTGATAGTCATTTGAATCAGCTGGTTATAAAACCGAGGAGATATAGAGCTAACAAACAACCTTCCCTGCTCGATTTAATTATAACATCCGATGATTTTTCGATCACTAATTTAGATTACCTCAATCCGGTCCGTAACTCAGATCACAATGTTTTGATGGCTAACTGACAAATTTGTTATAGACTTTCCCAATTTAATTGGCAGTCAATCCTCTCGGATGGTTCGATCTACAATAACTGGGATGTCTTTAAAACAGTGTTCTTCGATGCGATCTCAAAACGCACCAGCCCTACCTTTTCTAAAAGATCCTTTTCAAAACCTTGGATTAACAGCAGAATCTTAGGTTTATTATTATTATTATTATTATTATTATTATTAAGAATTACAATGTCCAACAGGCGAACCCAATTATAGGACAAGGATAATCTCCGGTTTGAATTAAGCATATCTGAAAGTCATCATTTTGATGTCAGCTTTGCTGCAACAAAATATATCAAGACCATCTTGTTCAATGCGAGAATAATTTTTTATCATCTTATACACAGGAGACATCTGCAGTGCGTTAGATTTTGGTGTTTGTAGCTGAAAAACATTCAGATTTCGAAAATTGAACGATTTGAACTGAAAGAACAATTTGGACAACAGATCACTGCAGTCAACAACTCCTGATACAAGCTGGTGAAGAAAGTTGATTGAGAAGTATTCTCGCCTGCTGGATAGAGATGGGAGGTCAACATCCTTAAGGAGAAAGCTATGATCATACCCTCTGGGCGGATATGAACCAGTACGAAAATAGAATAGAGACTTTGCAAATCGACGTTGCACCTTTTCTACAGAAGTTGTATGGATATTATATATTGGAGACCATATAAAATTTGCATATTCTAGCTGAGATCTAACAAAAGTTTTAAACAGAATTAAGAATGTTTCATTTGAATTAAAAAGTTTACCATTTCGCAACACAAAGCCCAATGTTTTATAGGATGACGCTATGATGCTATCGTAATGGTCACAGAAAGACATTTTACTGTCAAACATGACACCCAGGTCCTTGATCGTTTTAGAGCGCTTTAGAACTGATCCATCCATTGAATATTCAAAAACAGAACTGTTCAATTTTCTTGTAAAACTCACTACACAACATTTATCTGTATTTAAAATGAGGTTGTTATTCAATGACCAGTTTAAAATAACAGCAATGTTTGATTGTAGTTTTTCACTATCTTCAGGTGTTGTAATGATATTATATAATTTCAAATCATCAGCGTACAATAAAAATAGAACATTAAAATAATCGGTACAATCATTTATAAATATGTTAAAAAATAATGGGCCTAAGACTGACCCTTGAGGCACTCCCGAACGCTGAACGAAGGTATCAGAACGAAATCCTCGGTATTGCACAAACTGACATCTATTACAGAGGTAAGAGGAGATGAGTTTCAACAAGTCGTTTGAAAGACCAAAGTACTCTAGCTTCATTATCAATAGTTTATGATCAACTCTATCAAAAGCCTTTGAAAAATCTAGGTAGGCCACGTCAACCTGCTTATGCTGATCTATATTTTCACAAAGAAACTGAGAGATACAAGCTAAATTAGTTATTGTCGACCTACCCGCCATGAAACCATGTTGATGGATTGAAATTCTGTTTGAGACATGAGAATACACTCTATCAAATAAAATAATCTCAAAAACCTTAGCAAAGTTATTAATTATGGCTACTGGTCTATATTTGCTAATTACAGATTTGTCACCTTGTTTAAAAATTGGGCAAACTCTAGAGATTTTCCACTGCTCCGGAAACATACAAGATTTTATAATGTTATTGAAAATCACTTTCAATGGGCCTGCAAAAATGAATCTACAATCACGAATAAGAAACGAGGGGAAAAGATCAGGACCAGCTGTCATGCTCGCCTTCAACTTAAGCATAGCTTTTAGAACCTCATTTTCGGTTACATTATTAGTAATATACAAAGCATTCGCATTAATACCGCTGTTATTTTGAGATCTATATGTATTAATACCGCTATTATTTGAGGGCAAAGAAAAAGCAGTAGAAAAATATGTAGCAAACTTATTGACAATTGCCTGTGGGTCCTCACTTTCCCAATCGTCTAACTTCATCAAAGGAGGAATGGAAGTTGTGTTCCGCAAAGAATTTAAGTAAGACCAGAAACATTTGGGATTCGATTTAATTTCAGCATTCAACTTGTTCACATATTCAGTGTGTACCTTGTGCGTCTCGGTTTTTATTTTGGCTCTTACAGATCTGAACTTATCATATATCGCTGCGTTGGCACATTTTTTGTAGTGTTTCCACAACTTGTATTTATATTTTATAAGAAGAATAATATTTTTATTAAACCAAGGAGGGTAAGAGCCAAGAGGGGATCGTTTCTTTGGCACATGTTTGTCTATTGTTTTATAGAGTGTTTTATAAAACGCGTCAACAGCGAGATCAACATCATGGGTATCATTCAAGACCGACCAGTCTACTGACTCCAGATCAGCGTACAATTCATGTAAATTGGCCTTTCTGAAATTGTAATTAGGGAACATGACGATTGGAAATTTATTGCTGTTACAATCTGGCTTTAACAATTTCACCAACAATTTAGTCCGTAAAAATCGATTATTATGGCGTGCCTTCAATAAAACGAAATCTGAATGCGCGTATAAAACGCACAGACTTTTCAAACCATGTTTTGTCTGTCATCAAAGAAGCTAGACTCAAATATGAGTACTCCATTGCAGCAGATAAAAATCCTAAACGCCTGTACAAGTACATCCGAACGAAAGTCTCGAGGCCAGTGAGGAGCATTCATGTTAGAGATGCATCAAAAACAGTAGTCAATAATTACGAAGATGTGGTAGAGGTATTCATTCGCGGAGACATTCTCTGAGTTTTTTACGAAAAAAACACCTTGTGGACGTTCTAATCTGTTGGGCACTTTTAATTCTAATTACATTTTCGGAGTAGAATTTTCTAGAGAACAAAGTTTTAAAGAATTGCCCGGAGTTTTTTTCCATCCTGCTGATGATCTTAATGGAACAGTTGTTTAAGTCAAGTTATTATTATTATTATTATTACTATTATTAAGATAGAATAGGATAATGAGAGAGATTCAAGATCTATAATACTCATTTTTAACAGTGTGTTAACAGTTGAAGAATTCATCGTAGAGGTTTTTGAAACGATTGATACTAGGAGCAGATACGATTTCCTCTGATAGTAGATAGAAGTTTTAAAGAATTGCCCGGAGTTTTTTTCCATCCTGCTGATGATCTTAATGGAACAGTTGTTTAAGTCAAGTTATTATTATTATTATTATTACTATTATTAAGATAGAATAGGATAATGAGAGAGATTCAAGATCTATAATACTCATTTTTAACAGTGTGTTAACAGTTGAAGAATTCATCGTAGAGGTTTTTGAAACGATTGATACTAGGAGCAGATACGATTTCCTCTGATAGTTCATCCCCTCGGAATGAAAGAGAGCAAAGCTACGCCCGAAAAAAGGAGACAAATTCGAGGCCTCGAACTATAGAGCAATGAGTTTAACTTCGCTTGTGGTGAAAATTATGGAATCAGGTAATGAAATTTCCACTAGATCACTCTTTACAAACTGTTCCCACTATCTTTAACCTCGAATATCGTTCTCTTACCTCCCGAACTTTGTGTTCTTTGTCGCCAAATTCCTCAAGATATCCCTTACGAGGTGGGGAAACATTGAAACTCTTTCCAAAACAGACACGGTCCAAACCGGGAAAACGTCTTTCTATTGTATACCGTGTTCTCAGACCTCTGGTGTTTCTCCTTATTCGCACTATTGAGATTATTTTGAGGAGCAAAGACAACTCATCCTCACCGCGATAAAAAACCGCTACTTAATTTTATCTGTTTCTCTGGGTTTCAAAGCAAGTTGACTGTGACCCTTCTTACCATAAATCATTACGCTTCTAATAAGAATATCTGCTAGTATCGAACGACAGCGGAATTTTATAATCTAAACATCATTCATTAGCAAAGCATTTGCTAGTTTTATAAGCACTGCTTTCTCTACTGAACTAGAAAGTTAAACAAATGCTTATTGCTTAAAACTTACACAGATTTGATTCTTACGTAAAGCTGCTCCAGTCTCAATCGTGTGGTTCTCTTTGTAACATCAAAAAAGTGGCTATTTAATTTTTTTAACGTATTTACCATAGTGATTTCTTCTTCGATTACAACCAATATCGAACTCATTGTGGTTTTTAACGATTAGAAAGCTTGTGATATTGACTCATTTGCATCAACATTTTAGGAAAATTTCTAAAAACAACTTGGTTCGGGTAGCTAATGATTTGTGGTTGCAGTCACAGTAAACATTAAGTAAAGTTCGACTATCGCTATTTGGAGGTGACTTCACTGGGGAATGGGGATTAAAGCTTAGTTAGCACTTGGGATGATTTATTACTTAGACCATGTTGTAAATGTGTCCATCAAGACATGATCATTGCCCGGATTACTATTTCAATGAAAAAAAACGGTACGCTGCGGGCCACGGTGGCCCGGTCCGACCCTGCAGACCATCGTCTTGATGGACACATTTACAACAGGGTCTAAGCCGCCCCGTAGCTACGGGGGGGCAAGATGGGGCTGAGCCCCCCTAGCAGTTGTGGTTGCCCCCCCCTGGAAGACTTACACATTATAAATTTCAAATTAGTAATAAAATTTCAATATAATGCCCAGGGCCGGCTCTAAGGGACCAGGCGCCCCGATGCAAACTTACTGTTCAAGGCCCTTAAAAAAAATTTTGTAAAAAAAACAAATAAAATTTTGTGATGACATATTTTTGTAGAGATACTTTTTATTAACAAACATGCATAAAATTATGATGAATTAATCTTAATATGTAAAAATGTTTGTCTTAACTGACAGACTGACTGATTCATCAACGCAAAGCCTAATTCATGTTTGTAGCTTCAGTAAGCTACAAACATGAAATTTGGACAGTAGGTTACTTTTGTGTCATAAGCACCCATTAAGAAAAGATTTCTGGAAATTCCGCCCCTACGGGGACAAAATAGGGGATGAAGCTTTGTGCAGAAATGCCGTGAGTTTTTAAGTCAGACGGGTTCACTGGGGAGGGAGGAATTAATACATGATCGTTTTCCGGGTTGGAACCGTGTAATTTCTCAAAAGAGTTTCGCCTCTGGTATGGTTGACATACTGAGTTACCGTGCTCTTTTGCCTTATTCTTAACCCTGCTCCTGAAGATGCCACTTACGAAAGTGTGCGAAACGTTGAGCCCAAAAACCCAATTTACACGGTTCCAACCCGGAAAACGATCATGTATGAAAAATGATGAGTCCTAATTGCGAATTCCACGCAAACGGAGCTGCGGGCAACAACTTTTCTATAGTTTAGGAAATATCGTTGTACCCTATAAAATTTTCTTGCCAATAACGAGACGAACAGTAGTACAATAGCAAGAGATATTTACAACTTAAAGTTGTCGCATGGCGGTAATCCGCAGACCTTAAATTTCTAAAGTAGCGGAAGTCCGATCCTATGCGTACAATTACCTGCTAAATGTTCTCCTACAAATTCGGGGGGACTGGTGTGAGCCATAAATATTTCTTACCACTGTACCACTGTCCGCCTCGTTATTGTCAATAAAATTTTATAGGGTACACCGATATTTCCTAAACTATATATAGTATAAATATAAAAATATTTATATTGCAAACGTTTTTCAATTTTTAATATTGTAAAATTGATACGATTTCAAAGCTATTTTTAATTTAGACTTACCTCACTGTTAATCGAAATTTAAATTTAAAATTAATGATGACAAAAAGCCACGAAATGATACACACAACCAAATTCGGCTACAAACAGGAACAGTGAAAAATATAACAAAACTGTTGAACAACCACCACAACCAAAACCAACCGACTAGACTTGGAAAATAAAATTTTTAAGTATACCGACATGGACTTTTATGGTAAAAACAAACGTGACAAATGTTAGGAAAAACATCTGGGTGTGGTCATACCGCTGTCTCGTCAAATTGTTACCCAGATAATGCATCATAAATCTGGTTATTTTTTGTCGGTATTGATCTAAAGGTCCCATCACCCAACCCAAAGGCGCACTTTTTTTCAATTATTACAGTTTGAAAGTGCTAGGGATTGACTTCTTGGGATCTGTTTTGGTGGTCATAGTGGAATGTTAAAATGTAACTTTTTCTGAAAAGTTTTCGATGGGCGCCTTGGTCTGTTACTGCTATAATATTTTATTGGTAGTGATTCAATGCGAAACTAATATTAATTTTTTTTATAGAGTTAATATAATAGCATAGGCGGCGCCCGCCGTCCGGCGCCCTTTGTCACGGGCGCCCCGATGCGGTGCATCTTTCGCTTACCGTGTTAAGCCGGCCCTGATAATGCCGATTGCCGAAGCATATTTGCTAGCCCCACCCACGCACCCTTTATTTTCTTACAGGGTATGTTATTTGGCAATATCACCCTAACGTTGATGTTGACCATATAAAAGAACGAACTGTCATGTCACATTTTATTCCATAGCCTACTACTAAACATACAAAAAAATAAACTCAAATAAATTGGTTGTTAGTTATTGTAATTGGCCACTGCACGAATTTTTTGATGCAGTACAGCTGTTTGTGAATTTACATTCTCTGTTTTAACCGGAATAGATCGCCCGGCGCATCCAATGATGCATCAAAGATTGGCAAACTTGGTTTTTCTGATTTTTGAAAAATACCGTACCAATTCTTTGGACTTCGACAGGCTTCTACGAAAATTTAATAGCGTAAAAAATCGACGTTTACAATTATTTTAATGCTTTTTCAAATGTAAAAACTGAGAAAAAATAAAGTAGTTATCTGAGTGTAGTATTAAAATATATATACATATTTACATGCAGCCTCCTCTGTCGACAAACTTGACCCCCTGAATAAGTTTTCTAGCTACGGGGCTGGGTCTAAGCAATAAATCATCCCAAGTTGTAATTAGTCGTTAATCCCCAGTGGAGTCACCTCCAAATAGCGATAGTTGAACTTTAGAGAGGTTGTTGAATATATAAGGAATTCACGTTCGGTAGATGTAACTAGATTTGGTAACTTTTTTTTTTAAGCTGTGTAACTGCGGACATAATTGTTCTAGTGTATAATGTATAATTGGAATGTCAGAAAGTAGGCATCAAAAATGTGACATGTAAGTAAGTAAATATCAAATATCGAAAATGTGATGGTTTTGTGGTGATCTGCTGAATCTATTTTTGAATCCAGGAGAAAATTGTATCCCTCTAAAAGCCCAAAGAGCAACCCGCATGTAAAATTGTGAATCTTTTCCCTTCACTAGTTATTTTAGGAGGACAAGCTTCGATGTCATCATCATGGATCCACAATTTTACCATGGATTCGTTTTGGTATATCCATGTCTCATCCAAGAAAATGAAAAGTAAATCTTCACCACTATCACGCAATTAGAGATACCGCTTTAGAAATTTGATTCTGGTAGCTATTTAATGTGAAAAACTTCGCCTTCGGAAATCTAAATTTATACGTGTATTACGTACAATTATTCTCCATTTCTGATTCTGAGTATAATATTAACGGCACCGACGCCGTTGTATCGGTATTATTTTAAAATTCGAAAAACACTCGAGAACACCAGCGAACTTTACGGAAAATATTTCTGCCACCAGTTTAACTGTTTGCGTTTTACCCAAAGATTGTCTATTTTTCTCTGTAATTTTTTGAAAACCACGAAATATTTCTTGTTTCTTTTCCTTTAAAATGGGCTTTCTCGTGACCACTTTTGTGGAAATTGTTTCCACGCTGTATTTAAGGATTTTCTTCAAACGAAGCGTGTTGAAATTAGAAAAACTTCGTTTTTTTTCCAGACAATTCAGATTTGACATTTGAATTACAAAATTAGACAGTTGATACCAATCTTTAATTTCTAGTGATCTTAAGATTGCAACTTAACCACAGAAAACTTTCTGTTAGCTACTTCTACCGAACGTGAATGCTTATTACATAAGTTCAACTGAAGTTGTTTTGTGGTAAAAATGTCTGTTTTAAATATTGAACCATCTTACAAAATACTTAAATATGAAGAACGAAATTTTATGGTAACGGTTTATGACTTTTTTGTGGGTGAAAAGAAACTGGGTGCAATAATCTTACTTACAGTAAGAGGACGGAGGATTATTTCAAAAAAGTAACACACTATGTCTATAACGAAAACAATTGCCAAAAAGTACTTGTCGAAAACCAAAGTAGATAAAAATGGAACAAAAAACGCTATTTATGGTTGAAGCTGCCATAACAAAACACCCCAGACCCCAGACTGATTCACCTAGGGACGCCACTGATTTTACACTACCTGAGTAATAAGGGTGAATTCGGTATTTTGGTCGGTGGGCTGTTTAAAAATAGATTGTAAACGGTAACAATGGAATGAATGAATGGGTCGCTTTCGTAGCACAGCAAAGATATGGCATCCTACGTCCTCTTAATACAACGTCCTTGATCTGGTGTGATCTCTTCTATCCGACGAGCCCAATTCCGGACCGCTATTGCATGTGACAATATAGTATTTATACTGTCAAATGATTTTTAAAATGCAGAAAGGGCACTGGTAAATTTTAAGGCTGTTTTATAAATGCATATATTGTTTTTTTATTTTAGGAGTAGTTAAAAAAACATTAACTGTT